TGAGTCAGATGCCGCCCAGATCCCCAGTGTCTGAGGGTCCCTAACTCTACGCAGCCTCTCACGGGAAGGGCAGTGGGCGGGAAAGGGCACGTCGCTCTTTTCGAGGCTGCATCAAAGGAGCCTCGTCTTAGTCCTCCTGTGCTACAGGGGCGTCCCTGGGTTATCACCTCTCAGGGGGAGATTTTCTCAGTCTGACCTGGGTTTCTGATGAGTCCTGACACAGAGCCTTCCCCAGAGCGGCTGGGTGAACCCAGGAAACCTCAATTCACACGCCGCAGCGCCACCTACTGGTCAGCGAACATGGTCGAAAGCGGCAGATGAACCACATCTCACCCACGAGGCCACCAGAGCCTTATCCCCTTTCACAGATGGGCAAACAGAGCTTTTGCTCTTCCCTTTCCCCCAGTCACTTAATCACCTATTAAGTGCCAGGCACAAAGCTAGATGTTGCGGTTTCAAAGAGCCGAGTCCCCCTCAGAGGGATTTACAGAACCAGCAGGGGAGAAAAACAAGGAAAGACACAACTGAAAGGGGTACAGTGGGGACACCAAAGGGAGGCCACGTGTCCTGGGGAGGGAAAGGCTTCACCCAGGAGATGGTGGGATCTTGGGCTGAGTTTCCGAAAGTCCGGAGGGGTCTGCAAGGCTGACTGGACGGGGTGTGGGGGGTCATTAGATTCTAAATTCAGAACACTCCCATAAGCACGGGGGACCAGGGGCCAGGAAGGCAATCTTAGTGAACAAAAGACGGATAAGGAAAGACCTCAGTGTGACTTGAGAGCAGGGTGCAAGACAAGATAGAGCTGCACACAGGGGGAGAATGAACCAGGATTCCGGTCCCAGCATCGCACACAGCGTGGGGCTCGGAACACCTCTGCCAGTCCCCCCATGAAGACTGTTGTCTGCCCTGCTAAGGACTCCGAACTTCGTCTCCTGAGGAAGGGAGAGTCACGCGAGGGTGTTAAGCCAGTGAGTAAAATGACCTGATTGCTTCAGAAAGATAACCTGGCAGAGTGAGGACAGGGTGACTGAGAAGCAGGAAAATCACTTAAGAGATTATCATCGAGGCAGGCGATGCTAACTCTGAACTCCAGCAGCGGTGGGGAGACAGAGGTCAGAAGAGACAAGAGCTATTGAGGATTCAGAGGCTGTTGGGCTGGCGATGCCCTGAAGGTGCAGGGAGAAGCGAGTGGGGCGCAGAGATGACTCCCAGGTTTCTGGCTTGGTTGGCCATTCAGGAAACTGGGAACAAAAGGGGCAGATTTGGAAGACAATATGATGTGATGGTTCTTGACGTGTTGGCCTGTGGGATTTCCACATGTAGCTGCTCAAAAAGTAATTGGATAAGCAGAATAAAGACCACTGACTTCCAAGGTTGCAGTGAGTGAAGATTTCCTTAAGGAGCTGCAGGCCCTGATTTCATCACTCCTATATAACAACACTATCAGAGACCCTTTATTTGAGCTGCAAAAAGGCTGCATAACACATCAGCCCAAAACAGGCTCCGTACGACAAACATTTAGACTCATGCTCCTGAGCCTGCCTGTCACTGCAGTTTGGCTGGGCAGCCCTGCCTCAGGGGGTGGGTCAGTCAGGTTGGCTTCAGGCACAGTTCGGGTCTGTTTCACGCCTCTCTCATCCTCCATGGTACAATGGCTACTCAGGTCACCATCTTATGATGAATGGCAAGAGTCTCCAAGGGCTAATGAAATTGCACAATGCCTCTTAAGGCCTAGCTCCAGACTTGCACACTATGTCTCCTGCCAACTTAAAAAAAAGCCACATGGATGGCCTAAGCCATTCAACGTCAGTGGAAGAGAAATACATTCCATCCCTTCATGCACTGCAAGGTCACAGACAAAGGGAATAAGGAATTGAAAACAATATCCAATCTACCACAGCTAGTGGAGCTCCTTACTGTCACGTTGTTTGCTCTTGTCTCTCTGTGTCTCCAGTCATTAGGTCACCCAGCCTCAAATGCCCTCCTGGCCACCTGTCCTCTGGTGTACTGCAAAGATCCTTGCATTCAGATATACAACCTCGGCTCCATTTCCTGATCTTCCCACTAGCTGTGTGATCTTGGTAAAGTCATGTTACCTCCAAGTCTATCTCATCCACTAAAAACATACTCAGAAGATTGCCAGAAAGATTAAAGGGATGATGTCCTAGAAAAAACCTTGTCTTGATAAAGCGCTTCCTCTAAGAACCAGCTAAAGTCCTCCCTCGTCCACAAAGATTTCAATAACTACCATTTCTCCTCCCGACTCTTAAAGAGTTGGCATCCAGTGGCTTCTAGATACAAGAGGAGTTCCTGGAAAGCTCTTCAGAAGTGCTGATCTGTCTTCCAGCCTGTTGGTCCAATTCATTCGGAGAGAATTGGCTTAGATTTCCCCAGGTGACTCTAAAGCACCACCTGCGGTCTCTACCACATTCCTCAGCACTTCCCGGAATAGTTCACTGTCTCACGTGTGGAAGACTGGGATGTCAGTCCTGGATTTCACGGTCTGCACCTCGAGAAAGTACTTCTCCAAGCCTCACTTTCCTCAGGTGGAGTGGGGACACTCTCATCTCTCTCACACAGCTTTGGGGAAGTTTCCTGGGAAGCACAGGGCACTCGGCACAGTGCCCGGTACTCTAGCAAGTTGTCACATTGCCCCGTCTTACTCGGACTCCGTGTAATAGCTCCATTCACCCAGCACAGCACTGAGTTCACAGCAGATGCGTCACTGTGTAAATACACGGTGATCTGTGGATGGAAGTTGGCATAGTGAGGACACTGGCTGCTTCTCTCAGGTGATGCTCTTCTCTCCCCACAGGTGTGAGCAAGAATGCACACACGGCCCTGTTTTCCACACAAACATGGCTCACAGGTACATGAGTGACACGTCAAGTGCCAGGTTCTTACTATGCATTTTCATACGTCCCAAGAGCTGACCAGAGAGGAAAGTGTTAACTGTGCTGCTAGAAAACCCTTCACTAAAACAAGCTGCAGCAGCTTTCTGCAGCACACCATCTCTCTGGGGAAGGAGGGGCTATGCGGGTGGCTGGGAACCCTCTACTATTCCTCCTTCCCCCTCTACACCCACCATGTGACATTCTGGAGTGGAAGGCACTAGAAGCTGGCATGGAGAAAAGAGGTGCTCCGAGCTCTAGTTCCTGGTGTGCAAAGGGAATCCTGGCATAGATCTTTCCAGGCAGATGCTAAAAGTATCCTCCCCACCTCTTAGACTTTCTGTCCTTGAGAGACAAAAATGAGAAGGCAGAGGAAGGTTGGCAAAGGATAAAACCAAATGCATCTAATGTAATGAGAAAGCGGCCCATGAAGAAATGTGTCATTCTCTGTGGGATGCTCTGCTCTGTGAGGTCAAGCATCACACAAGGAATACCTCTGATGCTCTATGGGAAAAGCAAAGCCAAAAACATAAAGACATTCAATCCTCTTGAAAACTAGTGCTTTGGTGGTTCTGAGAGCCTGCAAAGTGTAAGACTCAACACTGACGATGACAGGAGCCTCAGAACTTTGCATTTGAAAGTGGAGGCCAAACATGGTGACTGGTGAGGGAAGCAGAGAGCAACCTACACAGCTTGTTCACTACTTACTGCCTGTAAACAGAATGTAACGAACACAGGAAACGTCACTTTATTTTACCTGCCATTTCCTACAGACGACCAGGTTTCTCCCAAATTCATGTGCCTGGAAATGGCAAAGGCCAGATGGCTCATCAAGAAAACCTGTGAAGTTTTTCTTGGAAAGTGCCACAACTGGGCATCAGGAAAGGCTTCCCCAAGGATATACCTCAGACCTGTTAAGTCTGATCCCTCTTGTTTCGGGGCAGGTAGGTGAGCCCAAGCTCTAAGCCCTTAGCTAAAATGTTAAAGTAGTTATCTGGCCCAGAAGCACAGGATCCCTTCAACTTTCACGCATCAGAGTAGCAAGAGGCAGAGTTTCTGTTCTCAGGCAGCCAGACCTCACCTGGGCTGTCTTGTTTGAGTTAAGCGGTGAGTCCATGGGGTATGAGCTATGCAGGTTGTGGGCTGGCATGGTGACACCCGGGGCTCTGGAGCTTTACTGCCATTCCCTAATGGCAGAAGCCCTCTTTTCTGCCGAATCCCATCAACCTGCACAGTGCCTGGCCACAAGAGGCCATCGATCAAATAAGACTGGCATGTGCGGTGAGATGGGCTTGCATCCAAAGAACGGGAACTGCAGAGTGTGGCCCAACACGCAGTGACGGGCTGTATCATTAGAACGCTATCCATTCAAAGAAATATCTACTGGACGATGTGCCAAGCACTATCGAAGTGCTGAGAGTAAGATTTAGGTTCTGTCGTGAGAGGGCAGGGTTTGCAACTAGTGGGAAAGGCAGTCAACAAACACATACTTTAGATAGTGCTGAGTTCCGTAAAGGAAAGAAAATAGGGAGGGGTAGATGGGAGATTCCCAGAAGGTGGAGTGAATGACTCCTCTTCCTCTGGGTCCAGACAAGCTGGCAAGGTGCAAGGAGTAAGATCTGGCCAGGAACTCAGGTCCTCTAATCCTGCCTCCCAGCTCGAGCCAGGCCAGCAGATCGCATTTCCGATCCACTTGGTACGAGGGACTTCCAAGAAACAAGGGACTGTGAGTCCCAGAAGCCTTTGAATGCCCTGGCTAGAGCGTCTTTGGGCTGCGGACCCACGTGTGGCCAGACCTGGCCAGGCGCCTCAAGGGTAGAGAGAAGGCCCGCGCTCCCCACTTTCCAGCGGGGCCTGCCGCGCACCCGCGACATCCCGTTTCCACTTGCACAAATCAACACGGTCCGAAACCCCAGTTCGAAAGTGACACCGAAAGACGACACCCGCAGCTCGCCTCCAACCCCGCGGACGCAAAGCGGCTGTGGAGGCGGGGCCTGGCGAGACCCAAACAAGTCCCACGTGTCCGGGGCGGGGCCTCCCCATGACGTCACGGAGCGCGCGTGCGCGATTGGGTTCACGCGCTGGCGTACCCTTGCTGCGGGGCCGTAAAGCACGGAAGGTCGTGGCCGCGGTCTCCAGCTTTCCCCGGAAACTTTTTCCTTTCTCCGGCCCGGGCCCCCTTCCCATTCCCCGTCCCCGTTCCGGCGTCCGGGTTCCCCGCCAACTGTTGTGGCTGCAGCGCCGCTTCCGCCGAGTGTTACCGAGCGCGGAGCCCGTGGGGGCCCATGAGGTAAAGAGACAGCTGCGGGGCCGCGCGGGCCTTAGCGCGCCGGGACCCCCAGGCTCCCTTCGTTCCGCTTTGGTCTCGCTCAGGGTGGTCTCGGCCGTCCCTGGTTTCCCGTCACTTCTGCCTCGTCCTCTCGGGAAGGCGCGCCCTGGCGCCAGGACTCTGCCCGCCCGGGCCGAGAGGGGTCCGCCTGATCCCCCTCCGCCTCTGCGGCTGTGCCCCGTCGGCCGGAGGTGGTCGGGGCCTCGGGGACCGGAGCCCGGCTGCCTCGCCCCGGCTCCTCCAGGCGTCCGCAGCCGGGCTCGGAAGCCCAGGGCGCCTGGGGTGACCTCGCTGCTCGCTCCCCGCTTCGGACTTGCACACCCCCGCAGCGCCGGTGAGGCTCCTGCAGCTCGGACTGCCTTCTCTGCGGGCGGAATCGTTTTCCCGCCTGGAAGCGTGTGGTCCGCTTGCGCTTCACTAACTAGTGAGACGGCTGCAGAAGAAGGCAGTTAGGTGACCGGGGGAAGTCTAAGCCAGGGCCGTGCGCTTTCTTCACTGTTTGACCCCTTGGGCCTGAGTGAATGTCACTCATTTGATTCGGGAATCTTCAGGTCCATTTCGCCCTTGCATGGAAGCGTGTGTACGGGGATGTTCGCGGGGTGGGGTGGGCGGGTCAGGGTGCTCCTTTCGCTGCTAGGGATTTGTATTAATGTCTTAAACTTGCCTTATCATTTGGTACACTTGTTGAAAAATACAGCACCCTGGACCAGCAGCAGGATCAGAATCCCCAGAGGTGGAGCCTGGGAATGTGGTGGTGGTTTTTAAACAAGTGTCCCAGGTGGCTCTTATGCTGAGGCAGGTGCGGGAAATGTGTTAATCCGTCCATACTCATGTGTCTTCCTCGTGACCAGCAGCCCTTTTGTACACACCGCTGTGAGCAGACGGAGGAACAACGCAGAGGGAGTGAGAGCTGACCTCTTGCTGGTGTAAGCACATCTGAGCATGACCAGCCCCAGTATTAAGGTGGTTTAGCAGAAATTATTCTTCTCAGCAGAGAATATCATACATTTGATTTTGTTAAATGTAATTCCGTTTAAACTAGGTAACGGTGTCTTGTTTCTTTGTCTTTGACATCTTCATTTTCTTCTCTCCCAGCTTTACCTCCTTTGCAATCAAGCTTTGCTTTGGTTTTGCTGCCACACCTACTGAACAGACTCTGGTGCCTTCCTTTCCTTGGGTGTTTGCAGCCACTTTAATTCTTTCCCCCCCAACCCCCCCATCACTTCGCTCACTCTTTTGAAGGTCATGATGAGTACAAGGTCAGAAATCCTTTTCTTGGTTCTTATCACCCTGGGCTTTAAGCATTGTGTATTCCATCTTGAAACTCATCTGTTAGTATGTTTCTTCTGCCTGCTGAGGGTGTGCCTTGTGGTTCTGTCCTCACAGCCAGTTTCTTTATTCATCTGGTCTTATTTTAAAGACAGCGTGGAGTAATGGTTAAATGACAAACTCTAGTGCTGGGCTGGCAGGGTTTGTGTCCTGGTTCTGCCTTTAACCAGTATCATAAGACTTCCCTTCTCTGTGCCTCAGTTTTCTCAAGTGGAGAATAGAAATTATGATATCTACCTTACAGGGCTGTGAGGATTAAATCGGTTGTACACATAAAGTAGCATCTGGCACGTTGTAACTACCTATCAATAGTACCTTTTTCTTTTTGAAAATTCTTTCAGGTTATCTAGATATCCCCTCAAATCGGGGAGCCCTGCCTTGGATCTCAGAATTGTCATTGAATGTTTTTCCATCTGCTTTGTTCTGTCTTCTCATTCATTCATTAACTTATTATTTCCTGTTTCATATTCCTACACTGAATGTTGGGAAAACCACGATCAAGTTATTGGTCCTTGTTTCAGAGAGCTGCTTTATAATGGGGACTGAAAACTCCCACTTCCTGGGTGTTTCTTAGGTATCAACTGCCCTGTTTTTCCTGCATTGTCTGATTTAGTCTTTGTAGTCGAAATGGGAGGTATTTTCCTAGCCCTTGTTTTCGATGAGGAGCCTGAAGCACAGGTTGAATAACTTGCTCAAAGTCCCACAGCTAATGAGCGGTAGGGGAGATTTTCAAACCCAGATCTGTCTGCCTCTCAAGGCCGTGTTCTCAAGTGGGTTGCCGCGTTGCTTCCGTGGGTGGCAAACAGGCCGTTAACCCAGAGTGGTAAGCTCTGTGCTGGGAGGACTGCAGGATGTTATGGGAGAACGAGGACGAGTCGCCTAACGTGGTGTTGGGGACGAGGGGGTGGGAGAGGCTGTCGCCTAGGCAGGCTGAGAGCTGAGGGGATTATCTCTATTTGGGGAGAGGGCTGGCAGGACCTATGCCAGTTAGAAGGAGCAGTATGCACAGATGCTGGAGGTGAAAGGAAGAGTTCATGCCCGACACGTGTGAGGAGTTACACGTCCAGGCATATCTCGGAGATGTTGCGGGTTCGGTTCCAGACCACTGCAGTAAAGCCAGTCACACTAGTGTGTTGGTTTTCCAGTGCACATGAAATTTATGTTTCCACTATACTGTAGTCTGTTAAGTGTGCAATAGCATTGTGTCAAAAAAAAAACACCTCAATTACAAAAGACTTTATTGGTAAAAAATGCTAACCATTATGTGAGCCTTCAGTGAGTTGCAGTCTTTTTGCTGGTGGAGGGTCTTGCCTCCATGTTGATGGCTGCTGACTGATGAGGGTGGTGCTTGCTGAAGGGCTGGGGAGGCTGTGGCAGTTTCTTAAAGTAAGGTGACAGTGAAGTTTGCCTCATCGATTGACCCTTCCTTTCACGTCAGTTTCTCTGTAGCCCGCGATGCTGTTTGATAGCATTTTCAAACTTAGACTCAATCCTCTCCAACCTTGCTGCTTCTTTATCAGCTATTTATGTCATATTCTAAATCCTTTGTTGTCATTTCAACAGTCCTTGCAGCATCTTGGCCAGGAGGAGATTCCATCTCAAGAAACTACTTTCTTTTCTCATCCATAGGAAGCAGCTCCTCGTCCGTTACGGTTTTATCATGAGATGGCAGCAGTTCAGTCACATCTTCAGGCTCCAGTTCTAATTCTAGTTCTCGTGCTCTTTCCGCCACGTCTGCAGTTACTTCCTCCAGTGAAGTCTTGACCCCCTCAAAGTTGTTTGTGAGCGTTGGAATCAGCTTCTTCCAAACTCTTGTTAACATTGATATTTTGCCCTCTTCCTGTGAGTCACGAATGTTCTGAATGGCATTGAGAAGGGTGAGTCCTTTTCAGAAGGTTAATTTACTTTGCCCAGATCCGTCAGAGGAGTCACTATTTATGGCAGATATAGCCTTACAAAATGTGTCTTAAAAAGACTTGAAGTCAAAATTACCCCTTGATCCGTGTGCTACAGAATGGATGTTGTGTTAGCAGGCATGAAAACAACATTAATCTCATTGTACACCTCCATCAGAGCTCTTGGGTGACCAGGTGCATTGTCAATGAGCAGTAATACTTTGAAAGGAATCTTTTTTTCTGAGTAGTAGGTCTCAGCAGCGGGCTTAGAATCTTTAGCAAACCATGTTGTAAACAGATGTGCTGTTATCCAGGCTTTGTTCCGTGTATACAGCACAGGCAGAGTAGATGTAGCATAATTCTTAAGGGCTCTAGGATTTTCAAAATGGTAAATGAGAATTGACTTCAACTTAAAGTCATCAGCTGCATTAGCCCCTAACGAGAGAGTGAGCCAGGCACTGACTTCTCCTCTGTAGCTGTGAAAGTCCTAGATGGAATCTTCTTCAGTGTACGGCTGTTTCATCTGCATTGAAAATCTGTTGTTTAGTGTGGCCTCCTCCATTAATTATCTTAGCTGGATCTTCTGGATAACTCGTTGCAGCTTCTCCACCAGCACCCGCTCCTTCACCTGCACGTCTGTGTCGGGAGACGGCTTCTTTCCTCAGACCTCATAACCATCCTCTGCCAGCTTCAAACTTTTCTGCAGCTTCCTCACCTCTCTCAGCCTTCACAGAACTGAAGAGAGTTAGGGCCTTGCTCTGGATTAGACTCTGGCTTAAGGGAATGTTGTGGCTGGTTTGATCTTCTATCCAGACCACTCAGACTTTCTCCAGATCAGCAACAGGGCTGTTTCACTTTCTTGTCATTCGTGTGTTCACTGGAGTAGCACTTCTAATTTCCTTCAAGAACTTTTCCTTTGCATTCACAAGTTAGCTGTTTGGTGCAAGAGGCCTAGCTTTTGGCCTGTCTCAGCTTTCAACATGTCTTTCTCCCTGAACTTAATCATTTCTAGCATTTGATTTAAAGTGAGAGGTGTGTGACTCTTCCTTTCATTTGGCCATTATAGGGTTATTAATTGGGCTAATTTTAGTATTGCTGTGTCTTAGAGAATAGGGAGGCCCAAGGGAGAGAGACGGGGGAATGACAGAGCAGTGGAGCAGTCAGAACGCACACAACGTTTATCAATTAACTTCGCCATCTTATATGGGTGTGGTTTGTGGCATCCCAAAATAATTACAATGGTAACATCAAAGATCACTGATCGCAGATCACCATAACAAATATAGTTATGAAAAACTCGGAAATATGGTGAAAATTAGCAAAATGTGACAGACACAAAGTGACCAAATACTTTGGGAAAAACGGCACCGATAGACTTGCTTGATGCAGGGTTGTCACAGACCTTCAGTTTGTAAAAAATGCAATATCTGAGAAGCACAATAAAGCAAAGCGTAATAAAACGAGGTATGCCTGTATGTCTGATGCTTTCAAAAGAAATTAAGGAAATATTTAAATTGTCCTCACTCTAATTCCTTGTTAAGAGATACCTGATTGATTCAGCCTTTTCTTCATAACAACTAAGAGTAATTGCATTCAGGAGGATTGTCATTGCCCCAAGTGTAAGAATGGTTATATCAGGTGTGTTGATTGCAGACAGCAGGTGTCACCTCTGGCTAACTTGGGCAAAAAGGAGTTTGATGGAAGACTGTTGGGGGCCTTTAGAGTTGGCAGGAGGCCGCCAGCTGGAGGCAGCATGGAGGCCAGGATGTGGGGACCCCTCGAGTAGCCGGCAGTTCCTCAGCTGGAACACGGGTCTGGGATGGCCTGGCCAGGACGCTGCTGCTCCTGATGAGTGACCTCCAGCCATTCACCTGCTTGCTCAAGACCCAGTATTCCAGGAGGGTCTGATTGGCTGAGCTCAGGTCACGTGCCCACTGGCTGTACTGGGGAAGGACGGGGAGGGGCCAGTCTTCTGGGGGCTCATGTTGTGAGTAGCCTTCACCAAGGGTCACACTCCCACCAAAGCTAGGAGGAGAAAGGTCAAATTGCCTAAAAAGGCAAAGAACAGAGACGCATTCTAGGCTGCATCCTTGCCCCCAAAAGATATTTTAGCAAGGCTATCTTTCACTTTTATTGTAGGAGCGATTTTATGTACATTAGAATCTCATTTGATCCTCACAAAACTGCGAGCTGAGACTGTCTGGATAGGGAACGGAACCTTCGTGTTAGTGCATCCGGTGTGCTTTAGATTTTCCGCAGACGCTCAGAGGAATCTAATCGACTTGCTCAAGAATAGCCAGTGGCAGTCCCTGGACTCATCACAGTTCTTCTAACTTAGAATCTAGTGGGCTTGCCTCTTTGCCACCCTATATTTGGCCTGGACTGTCTCATTTTGGGCTGACTTTTCTTACAGGTTACTTAAGGACAGGCTCGATCTTTCTGGCCCAAACTCAGGATCGGCTGATCTCTCTGAAGCGCATCAACTCAAGGCTGAAGTACGTATGAGGCTAGGAGCCTGTCTTGACTTTACTGTCAAACTGACCTCTGCCAGAGGGCCAGTGAATGTCATTGTCCCCCTGTGTTCTGTGGCAGTGTTATAGGCATCCCTTCTGAGATCATCTCTCCTCAAAATAATGGCTGGAAAGTCAGTCTCACTTAGACCTAGCTTGCTGGGCTTCCTCCTTTCTAGAATTACTTGTTAACATGGTATGTAATATTTTTAATCTGGTACGTTAATAAGAAGGCTCATATAACTTGAGAGCTGTCTCCTTCAAAGTAATCACCAGAGGAGGCTCTCCTCAAATTCCAGAAACATCTTTGTGCAGTACGTTTTTTGGAACTCCTCTTTTGGTGTTAGCCACGGAGCCTGTGGGATGTTTTCTTATACTCTTTCAGCCATAACAGATGTTGTTATTTGTAAAACTGGAAATAACAGGAGTTGGTTTGGAAGAAAAGATGATGCGATTGTCATAGACACATTAGCCTTCCTAAAGATTCCTGGATGTAGTTCAAAAAATAGTTGGGTAGACAGAATAAAGTCCAATGACTAAGTTTGTGGATGTAAGCTCAGTATAGTAAAGGATCACTGGCTGCTTCTTTCAGATAACATTCTTCTCTTCCTACTGTTGTGAGCGAGAACGCACACACACACACCGTTTTCCACACAGACGTGGGTGATGTGTCAAGTGCTAGGTTCTTACCATGAAGTCAGCTGTAAGGCAGGATGCCAAATCCAGTGAGAGGGATAGTGACTCCAAGAGGAGGACTAGAGGCTTTTCTCCCCAGCCATGCCACCACCATATAAATGCCTCTTTACCTCGGCTTCCAAATTTCTAATCTTTGGTGACACTGGTATAAATGGTTTTATGTTTTATGTATGTTTATCTTTGGAGATGGCAAATACATATATTGGGTTACTACACATGAAGAACATTTCACCAGTAGACAAAGCAAAAGTAATTAAAATGTCTGTTTATTCATTTACAAACCTAGTAACATGAAAAGAGAATCTTACTTGAAATCTGGCTTGATAGAAATACAGTGCACAATGTTAATATCACATTCATGGAGGGCAGAAATGCTTGGTCACCCTGTGTGCCTATAGTCACCAGGGCTTGTGTGGACAGATCCCATTTACTAAAGTGCCTTGAATGTCTTCAGGACCACATGCTAAACTCTACACAGGGACAGAAAAGGGCTGAGCTGAACCGCACATTTACAAATGCAAATAATGAGTTATAGCACTTTACAATAATTACAGTGGTGCTTTCATACATCCCAAGGGTTGACCAGAGAGTAAAGTGTTAACCATGTGCTAGAAAACCCTTCACTGAAACAAGCTGCAGAAGCTTTCTATCCCACACCATCTGTCTGGAGAAGGAGAGGCTATGCAGGGTGGATGGGAACTGTCAGACTGAAAGGAAGTTACTTTCTTTTTCCTCCTTCCTCTCTACACCCACCATGTGACATTCTGGAGTGTAAGGCACTAGAACCTGGCTTGGAGAAAAGAGGTGCTCCGAGCCCCAGTTCTTGGTGTGCAAAGGAAATCCTGGCATAGATCTTTTGAAACAGATGCTAAAAATATCCTCCTCACCTCTTATAATTTCTGTCCTTGAGAGACAGAAAAATGAGAAGGCAGAAGGTTTGCAAAGGATAAAAATAGGTGCATCTAAATATCATGAGAAAACGGCCCATGAAGAAATGTGTAATTCTCCAAGGGATGCTCTGCTCTGTCAAGTCAAGAATCACATTATACAAGGAACAACTGGTGTTTTTAATGGACAAAGAGAAGGCAAAGACATACAAAAATACTCAGTCCTCTTGAAAAATAGTGCATTTGTAGTGATGAGGGACTGCAAATGGGAGCCCCATAGTGACAATGAAGGAGCCTTACAACTCAGCACCTTGAAGTGGAGGCCAAAAGTGGTAGTGGGGAGGGAGGCGCTGACAGGCAGACCCACAGTTCATCCATGGCTTACTGCAGGACGTGCTTATAACGCCTAAAACATCTTATTTCATCTACCATTTCTTCCACTTGTGCGCTTCTCCTGAATCCATGTGCAAGATGAAAATTCTTTACTCATGAAAATTTTCCCTATATCAAGTTGATAAAATGCTGCTTATATCAAAGTTTGTGAGGCATGTGAGGAGGGGGTGTGCAGAAAGAAAATGAAAACAGTAGGAGGTCTGAATACAGAATTAAGCACTGTTGACCAAACCTCTAGCTTAGATACTAAAAAGGATCCGTGCCGACTACCTGGCCAAGCGGCAACAAAGAGATAAAAAATGAACCTTGCAGGTAACCCTGAAAGAAAGCCAATGCAATTGTTGTACCAGGACACAGCCTTCTACGGGTCAGAACAGAACCAAGACTACAGGTCATAGAAGATTCCCCTTTATCTACTTCAGGTTCTCAAAGGATGGTGAACACTCACTCAGATGCCAGTAAATGTGTCCATAAGCCCAAGGATAAACAGAGCCAGAAATCAAGGCAGTGGGTCATTTCTTCAGTGAAGCAAAGCCACTTTTAGAAAGCTGTCATTCCTGCCACATACGTGGTGGCGGTGGGGAGGGGTTAACATTTCAAATGCATGCAAAGGCAGGTTAATAGAGAAGGCTAGAGTTATTTTTCACGTTTTAGTTATTTTCTTAGAAAGAAAAGCCCAGGGAAGAAGGTGAAACTCTTGGTCTGTACAAGGAGATGGAATCCAGGGACTGCACGCCTCCTGATGAGAATCAAAATGACTGGGCTCTACTCCTATAGAACTGGGATTTTGGGGGCCAAAGGGAAGCTGAGGTTAACCACCCCCCACATTTGGGGGCACAGAGGCTCCCCAGAAAAGCACTGGAAATGTAGTGGGAATTGTTCAGTTCTCTCTCCTGGAGCATGTCTTGCCCATGAGGTGCTATGTGACTGCAACACAAGTTAAAGGACATCAAACAGGCTACCCAAGCAGGTAGTTCTTGACCCTTTTTGCTCTTAAAACTTTCTGAATTTTCAGTTTTCCCATCCTGATTTCAGATGGGACATCTTTCGGATGCAAGCTTCAATGTAAGTCAAACGACCGTGGCAGTGCCAAGACACAGGATTTACATGGGGCATGAGGAACTAGGGGCTTGGAACATACGTCAAGGAAGAAGACGACCCATAGGAGACTTAAAACCCTGGGTCTTCATCTGCTTGAGGCCAACACACTGTGTGTTTCTAGGTTCAAAAAGATTCTTCAACTGAATATGCTAACAAGATAGAAAGGAGTGCAGAGCCTCTCCCCCAAGAGATGATGGCGGATCATTTCAGAGAGAAAAAAGTACCAGCCACCTAAGACCAACATCCAGCTACCCATTCACAAGAATCCAGAATCCCTCGACTCTCTAGGGAGAGCTAAGTTGTCACACAGGGCAACACACGTGGCCCACTGTCCAAGAGATGGAAATGACACAGAAATGAGGGTATCTTGATTGTCAATTATGCAAGAGGCAGGAAAGACTCACCTCCTTCAGATTTAGGACCAAACAGAGAAAACTACCAGATCCACTCTGCCTATATTTGAATGAACCAAAAGAGACTCCAAGGCTGAATTTTAAAGTGCCAAAAGATAATAGGTATGTTTCAGGGCACTCAATAAATAAGTGATGCCCCATAAGATTAACATCTTACCAGTGTCTTGGGAGTGTGACTCCTATTTATGGACAAGATGAAATTTATGCATAAATCTACAATTTCTTTTGGATTCAATCCCAAATAGTTTTTCATTTACAAATTGACTTTGGAGTGGTGCAGAGCATGTGATACCTTTAGCGCTACATGTTTCCATCTTCTTGGGTCCGTCAGCTCCCTGCTGGTAACACCCGCATTGGCCAAGTGCCCTTTTCCTGCTGTCCCAAGTGCTTCACAGCAGCTGTTCACAGCTCTGCTCTGCAGCTGGGCAAGACCTCTCCTCCTCTCTCTTCTTTGCCTAGGAGCAGCATCTCTCAGCTAGTTAAATACACATTTGCACCCAAATAGCAAGGCCCCCAAACAATTCTAATCACATGCTGCTCCCTTACTAAATCAACTAAGCCCTCCTAAAAAGGGTGGACACTAAAGTCAGTAATCAAGTAGGAGTGGTCTGGCTGGGGAAATGACAAGTAATGTTACAAGGAACCAGCCTGATTAAGTGGATAAACAAAGATCCCAAAGAAATGCCAGAGTGGGCAGAATCTTAAGCTGCTCTGGTAAAACGAAAGGATCTTTAAGATTCTTATAGACTTATCAGAGCTAATGCTTCCAAGATACCAAGACAACAAAGGCTATATTTAATTAACTTCTCTAACAGCACTTGGCACTTAAAAAGGAATCAGATCAGGGCAGTTATTGCGCAAGGGAAAATGAAGTATTGGGATGGATAGCACAGTCTGTGATACCACTTACCACTGTGATACCCCTTAAAAGTGTGCAGGGCCATCTTGGGGTACCCCAAGTCATTTTCTATTCCAGAGGATATGGAGAGATGGCTGGATGGAGAAAAAAAGAGCCTGGAAGGAAAAGAGGGGAAGCAGTCTTCTAGGCTCGTGTAATGTACGCCCTCCATACTCAGAACTCTCACTGGACCCATGTGGGTTTTCTCTGTGTGGGTCTGTCTGTTCTGTGCCGGAGGAAGCAAAACTTGGGATTCTAGTAGCTCTCTGAACCTCAGCATGGCCAGCAAAGTTCAATTACTCAACGAGGATGGCTCGTCCTACCTTCTCCCTGTTCTAAAGGGAGAGAAACATGTTGCTGAGCTAGTGAGCCTACTGTAGGAGAGACAGGTGAGGCTGAACTGATCAAGTCAAATGCAAGCAACAGAGCAGAGGAGAATCCAAGATGGGATGACTGAACTCAGTAGCTGAAAGAACAGCAGCACTGCCTTAATCGTAGAAGACTCAGCATCAGCGGTGGTGTACTTCCTGAGGTCAGACCCTTTCAGCTGGGATAAGCAACACAAAAGGCAACATGGTTTTCCCCTTTCAAACACTGTGACTGTCTTGTCTACTCAGCCAAGAAACAAACACACAAAACCCCTCAATTATAGAGATTAGCAAGAGATGAAGAAATTATACGCAAGTGGCCCTGGCCCAAGAGTATGATAACTAGTTTGGTAGGGAGGCTGGGGAGGGTGCCAGGTTAACTATTTATCTCTCCTACAGACCAGATCACATCCACACGATGCCTCTCATCAGTGAGGTAGATGGTCATCCTCTTGCTAGAGGTATCAGGGTATCAGCACAGTGGAACAGGAGAATGATCTGCCTGGCTAAAAGGCACAAACTATTCCACAGGGCTCTATCAAACATACAGCAACCCACCAAAATTAACAGGTTACTCCAAGAAAACTTAGCCCCAAGGAGCTGGACTCTTGCCTTGAGGCCTGCACACCACCAGCTTCCCTTGTGTTAAGACACAGCATTTGAAATCAGATGTCACAGTAACCTACTTCCACAACTGGAGTTTGCTCCTGTCCTGCCTGTCAGACATGCTTCCTGTCACCATGAGAATCTGAGAGGGGTGGAGGGACGGGAAGAACGGCCCAGA